TCTCGAGGCCGCTGGATGCCGCCTCCCTTCAGGCGCCGATCGGGACACGGAGCGTCGGCTCCCTCTTCGCGCTCCCGCCGGCTGCTACTTCGCCCGGGCAGGCGCTTGTGGCCCACACCGCCGCCGCCCCGTCAACCGCGGCTGTCGCGCCCTCGGCCACTGCGCCGCTGGTGGCGGAGGACGTCGCGCTGGCAGGCTTCGCGGCGTCAACTGCGGCCATCGCGCCCTCTGTCACCGCGCCGGCTGCCGCTCTGACTGTCTCCACGGTGGTCTCACCTCAGCCAGTCTCCTCGATGGGATCGCAGCCGCCGCCGCCGTTTCACTTCGGCCATCTCATCACCATCAAGTTGTCGTCGGACAATTACATCTTCTGGCGCGCGCAGGTTCTTCCGCTTCTTGGGAGTCACTATCTGCTTGGCTATGTCGACGGCTCTCTCCCTTGCCCTCCTGCGCTGGTTGACAGCATGCACGGTCCGGTCTATAATCCGGCTCACCGTGTCTGGACAGGGCAGGATCAGGCGAACCTCTCCTCCATCCAGGGGTCGCTCTCTCCGGCCGTTGCTGGGCTTGTTGTCTTCGCCAAGACGTCCCACGAGGCATGGACTATTCTTGAGCGCTCGTTTGCGGCACAGTCGCAGGCTCATGTATCTGGGCTCCGTCGCCAACTTGGGGAGTGTCAGAAGCTTGACTCCACCGCCACTGAGTTCTACAACAAAGTCAAGAGTCTCGCCGACACGCTGGCCTCCATTGGACAGCCCCTCACCGACTCCGAGTTCAACTCGTTTATTGTCAATGGTCTTGATGAGGAGTATGACGCCCTAGTCGAGATCATCAATGAGAGAGGCAACTCCACGCCCATGCCAGCACACGAGGTCTTTTCACGCCTCCTGCTTACTGAGCAACGAGTCGAGACGCGCCGATCCAGGGGCAACGGCGCCCTCTCGGCAAACGCTGCCACCAAGGGTGGTCGCTCCTCTGCTTCATCCAGGGCTCCTTCGGGGCAGTCACCACCACCCGCCTCGGCCCCTCCTCCTACTGCGACGCTACTAGGGGCTGGCGGTCCACGTGTGTGCCAGCTTTGTGGTCGCGATGGGCACTGGGCCTCGAAGTGTCACAAGCGCTTCCAGCGGGGTTTTCTTGGTCTCGGCAATGACGGGAAGGATACACGCAACTTTGCTCGTCAGGTCGCCATGGCTGATCGTCCGCCGCCGCAGAAGCCACATGGACACACTCAGTCCTACTCCATTGATCCCCACTGGTACATGGACTCTGGGGCGACAGAGCACCTGACCAGTGAGATGGGGAAGCTTCACACTCGTGAACCCTACCATGGCTCCGACAAGATCCACACCGCCAATGGAGCAGGTATGCACATCTCTCATATTGGTCAAGCATCACTTCTCACTAGACATGCCAATAGGAGTCTTCAACTTCGCAATGTTCTTCGAGTTCCATCTGTGACACGTAATCTTCTTTCAGTTCCTAAACTCACTCGTGATAATAATGTGCTTTGTGAATTTCATCCTTTTGATCTTTTTATTAAGGATCGGGGCACGAGGGACATTCTTCTTAGTGGGCGGCTCTGCCAAGGTCTCTATCGTCTGGAGCATCCTGGCGTCGCTCGCGTCTTCAGTGGAGTTCGGGTATCTCCGTCACAGTGGCATGCTCGTCTTGGTCACCCGGCCACACCTATTGTCCGGCATGTTTTGCGTCGTCATGAGCTTCCTAGTGTGTCTAGTAATAAAGATGTAGCAGTGTGTGATGCTTGTCAGCAGGGGAAGAGTCATCAACTTCCTTTTTCGGAGTCCAGTCGTGAGGTGAAACATCCTTTAGAACTTGTGTTTTCAGATGTATGGGGTCCTGCTCAGACTTCTGTTAGTGGTCATAATTACTATATCAGTTTTGTTGATGCTTACAGCCGCTTTACCTGGCTTTATCTTATCAAACGTAAATCTGATGTGTTTGACATTTTTGTTCAGTTCCAAAAACATGTTGAACGCCTTCTCAAGCACAAAATTGTTCATGTTCAGTCGGATTGGAGTGGCGAGTATCGCAACCTCAACTCCTTCTTTCAGTCGCTTGGGATCACTCACCGTTTAGCATGTCCAAATACACATCAGCAGAATGGTTCAGTAGAACGTAAGCATCGTCACATTGTTGAAGCTGGTCTGACTCTTTTGGCCCATGCATCTGTTCCATTTCGTTTTTGGAGTGATGCTTTCACCACTGCATGTTTTCTCATCAATCGTACTCCCACTCGTGTTTTGAATATGAAGACTCCCATTGAAGTTCTCCTTAATGAACAACCGGACTACACCTTTCTCAAGGTGTTTGGGTGTGCTTGTTGGCCCCATCTCCGTCCATATAACAAGCGTAAGCTCGAGTTTCGTTCCAAGAAGTGTGTTTTTCTTGGTTATAGCTCTCTTCATAAAGGATACAAATGTCTTCATGTGCCCACTAATCGTGTCTACATCTCTCGGGATGTTGTGTTTGATGAGCATGTTTTTCCATTTGCCAAACTCCCTGTGTCCACTACCGAGCCACCTGTCATGCATTCATCCTCTGTTGCTTCTGACCAATTTGATGATGTTGCATATTCTCCTCTATTGTTGCCTAACCATGGTGCAGGCACTGGTCGTGGGGCTCGTTTGGAGATTCTGGAAGTGCCATCTTCCTCTTCGTCGCCATCGCCTTCATCCTCGGCACCTTCTGTTGTGCATGAGGAGCACATGGCGCCCCTGCATGGCCTCGGTTTCCGTGCTCATGCACGGCCGATCGACGTCCTGGCCCGGTCGCCTCTGGCTTCTGGGCTGCCTTCGCCATCGTCGCGCCCTGCAACCCCGCCGACTGGGCCGGCCTCCTCGGTCCCCGTCTCGCCCAGGGCGTCGGGGCAGTCATCACCAGGCCTGGCCTCGCCCGCCCCTGCCTCGCCCAGGGTGTCTGGGCCCTTCTCATCAGGGCCGGCCTCGCCTGCTCTCGCCTCGCCAAGGCCGTCTGGGCCGGTGTCACCGGAGCTGGCCTCGCCCACTCTCGGTTCGCCCATGGCCTCTGAGCCCCTGTCGTCGGGCCAGTCTTCGCCATGCAGCCCGGAGTCGTCTGTCCCGAGCTCGCCTGAGGTGATTCCTGCATCTCCGGCGACCGTCACGTCTCCGTCACCTTCGCCTCCGCCGGCTCCTGCTGCTGCTCTACGTCCACATATGCGCAGTCGGAGTGGCATTTTTCAGCCTAAGCAACGTCACGATGGCACAGTTTCTTGGTTAGCGGCGTGCATGTCTGCTGCTCTCGCAGATCCATCCTCTGAGCCACGCACGTATCAAGCTGCTATGCGCATTCCTCATTGGAGAGAGGCCATGGAGCAGGAGTATCAAGCGCTTCTTCGCAATCAGACATGGACTCTTGTTCCTCCACAATCACGGGTAAATGTCATTAATTCCAAATGGGTTTTCAAAGTGAAGAGGCATTCTGATGGGTCCATTGAGCGCTATAAGGCTCGTCTGGTTGCTCGTGGTTTTCGACAGCGTTTTGGACTTGACTATGAAGACACCTTCAGTCCAGTGGTCAAGCCTACTACCATCAGACTTCTTCTCTCTCTGGCTGTTACTCAAGGTTGGTTTCTTCGTCAGCTTGATGTTCAAAATGCTTTTCTTCATGGTGTCTTGGCGGAGGAGGTTTACATGCGCCAGCCTCCGGGTTTCTCTGATCCGGATCGCCCTGATCATCTCTGTCGTCTGTCCAAGGCAATTTATGGTCTGAAGCAGGCTCCTCGTGCTTGGCATGCTCGTCTTGCAATGGCTCTTCGTGCTCATGGTTTTGCATCATCAACTGCTGACTCCTCATTGTTTCTTCTTCAAAGGCCTGAGGTTACTATGTACTTGTTGGTCTATGTAGATGATATCATTTTGGTCAGCTCCTCTCAGTCGGCTGCTACTGCGCTTGTTCGCTCACTTGGTGCTGATTTTGCGGTCAAGGACCTTGGAAAGCTTCATTACTTTCTTGGTGTGGAGGTTACTTCTCGTGCTGCTGGCCTTGTTATGACGCAGAAGAAGTGCTCTCTGGATTTGTTGCAGCGAGCTGGGATGCTTAAGTGCAAACCGACGACTACACCCATGTCTACCACTGATAAGCTCAATGCTGTTGATGGTGTGCTTCTTTCTTCTTCTGATGCGACAGAGTACAGGAGTATTGTTGGTGGGCTCCAGTACTTGACGATCACGCGACCAGACATTTCCTATGCTGTTAACCGAGTCTGCCAGTATCTGCAGTCACCCCGTGACACTCATTGGTCTGCTGTTAAGCGGATTTTGCGCTATATTCGTTTCACGGTGGCTCATGGTTTGCATATTCGGCCGTCTGACTCTGGTTGTCTTTCAGCATATTCTGATGCAGACTGGGCTGGCAATCCGGATGACAGGCGATCCACGGGGGGTTATGCTGTCTTCTTTGGCTCTAACCTGATTGCCTGGAGTGCTCGAAAACAGGCTACTGTCTCGCGTAGCAGTACTGAGGCTGAGTATAAGGCTGTGGCCAATGCCACATCAGAGATCATCTGGGTACAGTCCTTGCTTCAGGAGTTAAGTATACCCCAATCACAGCCTCCTGTTCTTTGGTGTGATAACATCGGTGCTACATACCTTTCTGCAAATCCGGTATTCCATGCCCAAACGAAACACATTGAAGTTGACTATCACTTTGTGCGTGAACGTGTCTCTCAGAAGCAACTACAGATCAAGTTTATTTCTTCCAAGGATCAACTTGCTGACATCTTCACCAAGCCATTGCCTTTGCCACAGTTTGAGACTTGCAGGCGCAATCTTACCCTTCTAGATTCATTAGAAAGTGGCTAAGATTGAGGGAGGGTGTTAGACTGTATTTACATGTGTATATTGTAACGTTGTATACCACCTCATTATATATATATGTGATAGGCCATCCCTAGAGGGTTGTGCCGGTTCCTCCCAAAGCCTATTGTCTTACAAGTACCATCTCCATCTCCGTTGCCCATGCCCATCTCATTCACCCGAGCGGCATATCGTCCACAAAAGGTACAAGACAGACGGCATCCACGTCCTCGGCCTTGGGCCTCACCTATTTCCATTCCATCATTCTCCACTCACCCGACCCCGCGCGCCATTCGATCCTCTTCTCCACTAGTCGCCATGCAGCAGCAAGGCAAGAACCAGAACAGGAGAGCGATCTGCTCGTCGGATTTCTGTGCTTCGTCTGGACGTATGTGTGCTCATCTCTTCTTCTTCTTCTTGATCTGTTTGTTTGGTTGCAGATGGGTTGGGCAAGCGGCTGCTGCTCCGGGTCGCCGCGCTGTGCCACGGGAGTAGTAAGCTGCCGCCGCTGCCGTCTCCCCCGGCCATGGCGGAAATGCCGAGGGTGGAGACGGCCGGCGATGGCCGCGTCGAGCACCTCGAGAAGTTCTCCCACTACGTCGGTCAGTGGCCATTTCCCTTCCTTCCGATCAACGTTTACAGCAGTCCCTTTTCAAATCCGATCAACGAACCTGTTACTGCTGTTCTTGAATATTTACATGGATGTTGCGTTCCTGTGATCGTCTTCACCATAAGGATACTATTCTTTAGTTTCTGTTACCACTTCGATCGTCTGAGATATGTTTTCCCTTTCTGATGCCAAACAAGAAAGCTCTGACTAGCTCCTGCCACTTTACAACCAGACCAGGTCGGTTTTGTCTTGGTGGTTGAAATTTCGCATGCGCGGATGATTCCACCGAGCATTACAGTAGGAAACAGGATCCAAAACAGAAAGTAGTAGTAGTAGTAGTGTATATTTTTCCCAAACGGAATAACAAAATGAAAAGTGACTATCCCCTTCTGATTGACATGGGCACTGCTGCCTTGATGGAAGAGTAGCACCTATCTAGCCACTGAACCCAAGTATCTTCTCCTGGCTGACGCGTGCGCTGCTTTCTCCATGGAAAGTGAACACCTGGCCAGCCAGTCGCCTACCCACTATACGCATGACATCTCGAGGCATACAAACAGTGGCCGTCCCCGTCCGAAGCATGTACGTCGCATGGGTACGACACAACGCACCAAGCTCTGTTATGGGGCCAAGTCTCACGTGATGAGGTTAGGGTTAATCGTACGTGTAGCAGACAGCAAAGCTGGTGCTAAAACTGGACAGCGCACTGACTGAAGAAAGCAGTTAGCGATAATGATGACACTTGATCTGCCTCCCTGGCCACAGGCCTGCCTGCCTGCCTAGCTGAGGGTCCTTTAGCTGTCTTGTCGAGATCAATGCATGCCACTGGTACCGTACGGCGGCGATGCCATTGTCGAGCCGTCCATGGCCACAGCATTTTCATGTGGCTCAAAGCTTCTTCTCTACTCCTCTACTGAAAAGATAATGAGTGATCGAGAAGCATGAGATCGATCGACATCGAGATCGAGAAGCATCATTTTAGTTTCTGCTGCAAATTAGTGTTTCCCAGTTAATAGTTGATTAATAATCTCAATTCACTGTGTATGTGGATGCAGCTCGGCAGATTGGGTTCGAGGACGCGAGCGAGTGCCCCCACCTGTGCAAGGCGGCCAACAACTACCTCCGGCAGACCGACAACTGCATGACGGACGTCTACGGCCTCCTGGACGGCGTCCCGGAGGCCGACGCGCTCTACGTCAAGCTGGTGGACGAGCTGGAGAGATGCATCCTCGGCTACTTCGCCTTCCACTGGGACCATTCCACCACCCTCGTCACCCAGGTACGTCTTTGGCGGATCTGGAAGCAAAGTGGACGTCCACTCCACTCGACGAATTACGAGCGATGCACATGCACTGTGTGCATTACATTATGATGATGATCCAACAGATCGACGTACGTGTGCCGATTGCCGTAACTTTGCCGCCAATCACGCACGTACGCTTATTGTGCAGGCCTTGAGCGTGGACAGCGCCAACAAAAGGAAGTTTAGGAACGTGGTTCTCGAAGCTAACAGGTGAAAGTCAAAACCCAACCGCAACCTACCTAATACTATTTGTTTATCACTTCATTTATCTAGTAAATTACAGTATAAACTAACAGGTGCTTACAGTTGAGCAGAAACACACCCACAAAATAATGTTCGACGAACACTTCAAAGCATTCATGTGCTATGCTAGTAGTAATTCTTACCTCCGTTTCTTTGTCAATCGCGCATATATAGAAGGACAACTGAAATGATGTATTATCAAGCATAATTAAGGTGTCTATTATCTGTCCTTTTTTTTATTGGCCTTATTTCTAATGTTGTTCATCATATATAGTACACAAACTTTGACTAAATTTTATTGGACCAGCAAGACTGAATTATACATGTCCCTACAAGAGAATCGTGACCATGATGACCTTTCTAACTGATATCTTTTATAAGCATGTTTATCAAAAGAAAAGTACAGACACAAATAACATATTAATTATGCTAGTCGTTAGGTCCATGTGTTTATAATAGCAGTAGATGAGAATGCTCATGATTTGTCTCCATTATAGGTCAATTTCAGAATCTTTTGACATCTCCAGCTCTTATTAATCAACTTGGGTACACATTGGTATACATCGGCATGTTTGAATGCATGTATATATGTACAGCTCCCATCTTGCTTTCACCAAACATTTTTTTTTCACCATCACAAATTTCCCTTGATCAAATTATTTGACCTGCGCCAAGTACTTCAAATTACTTCTATAATCCCATAGAGATGAGCATGAGCTACCTAACAGATAACTATCGGGAGTTTTAAAAAAGTAACTAGTGCAATGGTCACGTCCTCTAAGAAAGTGACACATATAGGCAATAATTGCAAATTCCTAGCTAAGAATTGTCTAAAATGGTGTAGTTTACGCCATTATTTTACAAGAGGCACGAGACAGATGTAGTACATATAACTAAAACACACAATAATCCTACTTACATCACCACACATTTACTGGCATGTGTCTCTTTTGCCCGTGTCAATAAATTGATAAGACGACATGAAGCGTCCGAAGATACACTATGTGCCTCGTTTTATGTGCACATGTGCAAATGGTAACATATGTGACGTACTAGTGCATCACCCATACACACGCACAACCACGAGTTCTCATTTCCCATTGTCCAAACTATTTGTTTTTTTTGTGTGTGTGTGTTTGCTTTTGTTTTGTTTGCAATAGCTGCCAAGACTACGACAAGTGCTTAATAAAAACATGTAGAGACATGACCCCAAAGTCATTGCTGATACGCAATAATTGAATCAACCGTTATTAATAGTAGCCTCATCTAAAACGTACCCTCCCACTAGGCCATGTATACATCATGGAGTGGGCCAAGCCAGGTGTATGACAATGATGCTAACGCTATCAATGTTGGAGATTCGTTGTGAAGACATACTCTAGCCCATCATCGATATAATCGTTAACTCAACTACTCTGGTCGTCAATTCAACTGAAAATATCCGCTCCAGTCCTAGTTGGACGTAAACAACAACATCAACTGCTAAGTAGAAGTGCGATCTACCATGGATAAAAGAGAAGGTATATAATCTAAGATGTACGCTAACATTGTCGCATTCCATAAAATACCCTATGCACGAGTGATCGGTTAAAAGGCTAAGGCTTGCATGCATGAAACTAATTGAGATTGGATGGGTGTGACGAGCAGGAAGCAACGGTTCGAGCGGATCACAAAGGACCTCAAGGTGACGCGTGTGTTCTCCACGCTGGTGCACGAGATGAAGGCCATCGGCACGGTGACGGGGATGAACGGCGAGGAGGAGGCGCACTGCACCGACGTGATGGCCCCGATGGCGCACAACGACCGGTCCCCGGTGTTGCTGCTGATGGGCGGCGGCATGGGCGCCGGCAAGAGCACCGTACTCAAGGAGATACTTCAAGAGTGAGTACCAAGGACTAGTATTTCTTACGTTGTTTTCCTTGGTCGTCGTTTCTTGGTACGTACGCTTGTTGCAACAATGGTCGATTCGATCGAAACATGAAGCCGGAGCATGGGTGGCGATGTTGAATTTCAGGCCATTTTGGATAAAGGCGGGGACGAACGCGTTGGTGGTTGAGGCGGACGCTTTTAAGGAGACGGACGTGATCTACCGCGCCATTAGCTCCATGGGCCACCACAACGACATGCTTCAGACAGCAGAGCTGGTACGTTCTTGCTTGCAGTTATATATTTTCTCGGCAAACAAATATAAGACGTGTTAGAGACTTATTTCTGTATAATACAGTCACCATCGATCAAAGTGAACTAGCATTATTTCTCAGACGTTTACAAATGGACCAGCGTTGTTTCGACGACGTTTACGAACGGATCAACATTTGTGACGTAGTTGTGGTTGGCCAGCCATACATCACTTGGTTTGGCCCTTTGAATACATCAGTAGTTTGAATCTACTCTATTTCAGTTTATTCATGTTAACGTGCCCAGCAGTCCAGACGACAAAAACGGCCCTGCACTTTTTAGCTAGAAAAAAATGGGTGAGTGACCAACCGACCGCTGAACGGTTAGGAATCAGCAGCGATGGCACACATGGGCTAACATAGCGGCGTAATTGATACTCCTACTGCACTGTAGCTGTCCGATCGACCGACCGACACTTTCTCCAACTGCATGGTATGTACAGTGAAAATGGGTGAGTGACCAACCGAGTACTCAAGTACAGTGAAAATCTATGATATCTGTTCACCAAGCTAGAAACATGAAGTGCTCTGCTCCTATGACCCTTCTCACTCCGACCAAGGCTGTGAGAAAGCTGAGGTCCAACAGAGCACTAGACTTAATTAGATGGATGTGCTTTGTCTGTGTGGTGTAGAACATCTATCTATTTATCCTCGCTGCCCTGCCGGGTCCACGAAATGCATACTGTTTTTTTTAATGAGGATTTGGGCTGGCATGTTGGGAATCAGGGCAGGAACAGGGAGTGAACAGAGAAATGCTATTCCTACTACTTAAGGATTTTCTGAAAAAGGAGGTACCAGTTCAAATTGATGACCGTTAGCTAACACATCAAGGGGGTAGCTACCAACCTAAAAAAACTGTACATACAGGTTTTGTAGAAATTTTCTGTACGAATAACATTTTTGTAAACAGAGCTCTCCTGTCAAGCTCCAAGACAAAGCAAATTGTTTCATTCCCATTTTTCATTAGGGAAAACTGTTTTCTTGCCACACTTTTTGTTTTTGAGAAACGTCGTTCATTTTT